CGGCTACACAGTAAATGAGGTTTTGACCAATATTAACATAGCAACACATTAATACAAATCAAACATGTTTTTATAATAAAATAATAAAAAATAAAATTAAAAAGTAACGGTTTTTGGCGGGAAAGTGCCACGTAGGTATATATTAATAGGTTTTATTAAATGCTTATGAGCCAGTAATTATATATATATAGATATCCTTAATGAGTATTGAATGGTCAAATTACCTTAATGGGTCTGACTTTAATTAAAAACTTTGACTCCATCATGACCATTAATATGCTAGATTTAAAGGCTTACATTTATTCTTATTTCTTTCACTATCACTCATTCTCATTTGAGTGCACTTCTATATATATATATATATATATATATATATATATATATTCAATAAATGTATCTTATGTATTTAAACAAACAAAAATACATAAATATATATAAATTTAAAAACTAAATTAAAATATTAAAAAACTAAATATAATTTAGTGAGTGTCAGAATGCACAACAAAGATATACCACATGCACATTAATGCATTTATTAATGCACATTAACGTAATAGAGTGCAATTTTTCACGTATATAAAAATTTTGTTCATTTCAGTCTTGTTTTGGCCTTATTTATCAGAAAGAAAAAAGAAAAAAAACACACACATAACAAAACTGATTGACTATATAAAAAACTATTATTCTTATATTTTATATGTATAAAATCTATCTTGACTATAAAAAATAAATACAAGATATATTTTTTATTATATAAATAATTTAGTGAATGCGTACACAATTAATTAAAATACATATTATTAAAGTTTCTTAAAATTAAAATGCACATACAAAATATGCATACAATATAGTGCACAATAATGATATATTAAACGCGCATTTTTTCTTGTGCGTATGAACTTTATCTATTTTGGTACTACATATTATTTTTTCAAACTAAAAATAATTTAAAAAATTAAAATAATATTAAAATACTAAATATATGTTTAATAGAAATATAAATTATTTTGATTTTACATTGTAAATTTACGTTAATCGTCTGGAAAATGAACTAATATAAGATAAAAATTTGTTCAGTTGACTGCAAAATAACGACGCCCAGTGCACAATAGTATTCACCAAAATGCACATAAATGTAGTAATTTTAAAACCCAAACACTAAGACCCCAACTCGTAATATTGTGCATGTTAACACGTTATATTGTGCGTTTTATGTAATGTCAATGTGCATTTATTGAACTTCTTATAAATTGCATAGCTACCTCACCTATTAAAGTGAAATATATTAAAAATGCTAAAATTGCAACAAGGTCCCTATAACATGTATAATATTCAACCATAAGTCCCTGCACAAAAAAACAAAAAAAAAAAGAAAAAAAATACGCCTTCAGCATCAGGTCGTCCCAGTCGCTGCACACACACACACACATAAAATACACGCATGCCCTCTGATAACTGCCCCCCGCCCTTTGTTAACTGTCTCACCGCCGGGAAATAGAAGCTCATATAATACACCAACCTGGCCCTGTCGGTCGTCACCATCTAGTGCTTCTTCGGCGCATTCAAAACCGCAGCATAAGTAAGATAATGGTTTAATTACCTTGGATTGAAACTGAAGATGTACAAGAGATATAAATACAAGAAAAATAATATTTCTTGTTAGCCATGAAAATATCCCTACTGATCCAAACTACCTAAAATACAAGATACAAAAGATACCAAAATATATTTACAACTAAGGATGGGATATTATCCCGAATACTCCCCCTCAAGTTGGAGCATGAAGATCTCGAATGCCCAACTTGCGTAGGAGAAAGTGAAAACGATCGCGTCCAAGAGATTTGGTAAAAATGTCGGCTAGCTGAAAACGAGTGGGAATGTATGAGACGAGTAGTTCTCCAGATTGAATGCATTCCCGAACAAAGTGACAGTCGATCTCGATATGTTTCGTTCGCTCATGGTGGACTGGGTTAGCTGATATGTGTATGGCTGATTGGTTGTCGTAGTGCAAACAAATGGGGCCAGAAAGTGTGACTCCGAGTGAGGAAAGTAGGCTACGAAGCCACAAAAGTTCACTCGTGGTGGCAGCCATGGAACGGTATTCGGCCTCCGCATATGATCGGGAAACGGTAGTTTGTTTCTTAGTACGCCAAGAGACAGGACAACCGCCAAAGGTGATGAAGTAGCCGGTTGTGGAACGCCGCATGACTGGACGACTGGCCCAGTCAGAGTCACAGTAACCAATTAACTCTAATGAAGTTGGTTGTCGAAGAAAGATACCTTGGCCCGGACTGTGCTTTAAGTAACGTAGTATACGTGTGGCGGCATCCCAATGACTCTCCCGCGGCTGCTGCATGAACTGTGCAAGTAGGTGAACAGAATAGCATAACTCGGGGCGAGTGATGGTTAAGTAGAGGAGACGACCAATGAGACGACGAAAATGTGTCGGATCTGTGAGGAATGGGGCCGTGGATTCCGCTAAGTGGGTCCGCTGCTCCATAGGAAATGTGGCTGGTTTCGCTGCTGTGAGGCCACAATCAGATAAAAGCTCTAGCGTGTATTTGCGTTGGGAAAGAAACAAACCATCTGTTGTGCGGAAGACCTTGAGGCTCAAAAAATATTTTAGTGAGCCGAGATCCTTTATCTTGAAGCAACTAGCAAGGTAGGATTTGAAGGTAGAGCAACGGGCCGAATTATTTCCGGCAATGATGAGGTCATCCACATAAACAAGGACCACTAATATATCATCACCCGAGTGGAAAGTGAACAATGAATAATCAGCCTGCGACTGTGTGAAGCCATAAGTGCGAAGAGCAGTGGCAAATTTGGAAAACCAATTTCGGGAAGCTTGGCGCAAACCATTAAGAGACTTGTGAAGTCGACATACCGAATTAGGAATCTAAGAGGTGTACCCGGGTGGAAGACGCATGTAGACTTTTTCCTCCAAATCACCGTGAAGGAAGGCGTTATTCACATCCATCTGATGCAGGTGTCAATCTCTGGCCAAGGCAATGGTGAGGAGGCAACGGACTGTGGTCGATTTGGCCACGGGAAAAAAAGTCTCATGGAAGTCGAGACCCTCAATTTGGGTAAAGCCCTTTGTGACCAATCGAGCCTTGAAGCATTCAATGCTTCCATCAGAATGTCGTTTGATCCGGTACACCCATTTGCAACCAATCGGTTTCTTATCGGGAAGTAGAGGCTGGATCGTCCAAGTGCCATTATCTTCAAGAGCACGAATTTCATCTGTCATGGCAGTACGCCAACGAGGGTCCTTGACTGCGACCGAGTAGGATCGTGGTTCTACCTCAGAAACCAGTGCAGCTAGGAAGGCCGTGTGAGATGAAGAAAAACTGTTATAATTGACGAAACGCTCAATGGGATAGACCATACCTGAAGAAGTAGATGGAGTGTGTGTGCAGCAAGAGGGGGTCGGCACGACCGAGTAACAATGATAATCGTCGAATCAGGCGGGTGGGCAGCGCGCGCGTGGTGGTCGCCGGGAAGGATCTTGTGTGGCGACGATAGGTGCCGAAGCTGCAGCTGACGGGTGTGGGGAGCCTGTTAATATGTTTGGAGGCATCTTCGAGCTATCATCAGAGTGGGTCGTGCCCTCATCTGGAGTGCCTGGATGGTGATCGGCGGGAGCTGAAGGTGCGGTTCGAGTAACCGGCATTGGCAACGGCGTTGGTGGGTCGGACGGGGTTGGCTCATCAGACAAAGAAATGTGGTTAGGTGGATCGGTCGTAGTATGAGTGTAGGTTAGGGCGGGGGAGACATGTACGGAAAATCATGTTCGTGAAAAATGGCATCTCGAGAAAGGAAGACTTCATTCGTGTCGAGATCATAAAACTTCCATCCTTTCGTGCCATAAGGATAACTAAGGAAGACACAACGACGGGACCGAGATGCAAATTTTTCGAGTGGTCGAGGAAATGTTTGGCGTAAGAAAGGCACCCAAAAACACGAAGATGATCATAAGAGACCGGTTTACCATGAAGTACCTCGAGAGGTGATTTTCCAGATAAGAGTGGTGTTGGGGTATGATTGATGACATGGGTTGCGGTGAGAACACATCGCCCCAAAATTTTATCGGTAAATTTGCTTGAAAGCGAAGGGAACGGGCCACGTTGAGGATGTGGCGGTGTTTACGCTCGACGCGGCCATTTTGTTGCGGACTATAAACACATGATTTTTGGTGAACAATGCCTTTTTGATGAAAAAGATTTTGTAAAGTTCCTGATAGAAATTCTTTACCATTATCTGACTGAAAAAATTTAATGACGGTACCAAAATGCGTATGGACCAATGTGAAAAAAATGATAAAAGGTTAAAGGTTTCTGATTTGTCACGCATTAAAAAGGTCCAAACAGCCGACTATAATCATCAACAATGGTTAAGAAATAGCGAGCCCCAGAAATAGACTTTGTGCGATACGGTCCCCAAATATCACAATGTAAAAGATGAAAGGGAGAGATAGCTCGATTATCACTAAGTAGAAAAGACGAACGCGCATGCTTTGCACGATAACAAGCATCGCATGGATTCTCATGATCCTTATTAGCAAGAGTAGGGGAAACTAAATGTAAAATCTTGTGGGAGGGATGACCTAAACGCCGGTGATACATCTCGGGTGTTACTCGAATCGAACCTGGAGAGTTGGTCACAGTGGCTGCGGCAAACACGTCACTCGGCTCGATGCGATAGACCCCCCCTCCCTTGTAGCTTACCCGCTCCAATCAACGTCTTCGAGGTGAGGTCCTGCAAAAAACATTGAGACGAGCGAAAAGTCACATAACAGTTTAAATCCATCATAATCTTGCCAATAGAGATCAAGTTGCAAGTGAAGCCGGGTATGTATAAAACGTCATGTAATTTAAAAATCGGGCTAAATGAAACGGTTCCACGAAAGGTTGCATGAGAGATTGATCCATTTGCCGTCGTGATAGGACATGGTCCTCGGATGGGCGTGCAATTCGTTAGGAGTTCTAAGTGCCCGGTCATGTGCTCTGAAGCTCCCGAATCAAGAATCCATGATCGAGAAAATGTCGTGATATTACCTTCGAGCGGCTGGGTGCCTGAAGGTTGGGAAGACGCCATTTTGACTGAGCCCAGAAGGTTGATAAGTTGTCGGTACTCTGTGTCGGTGAGAGTGTGAAGACCGGCCGTGCTTCCACCTGTTGCAGCGCCGTTGGT